TTATATCATATCATGTTATAGTAGGTTATATTACATTATATTATAGTATACCTTATTATCCCATAGTATATATACACATATGAATATCTTTTGGTGCGGTCTTGGGACCTTCGTGGGTCGTCTGCAAGCCATCTTGGGGACCTCGTGGGCCGTCTTGGGGGCGGCCCAGGAGGCTTCCTGGGATGTCTAGGACGCTGTGATCGCAGAAGAGGCGAATGTGCAAAACTTGCAGGGTCTCCCATGGAAATGAGAGACGATTTTGGATCCTTGAGGCCATCTCGGGACGCCTCTTCAGGGCTTCTTGGGGCGTCATGCGCTCGGGGTCCCCAGGGAACCCCTCCCTCCAAATCGACCGGACCGGGCTTCCGGGGGAGGGGTTTGGGGAGGGGGAAACATTTCACACGCCGATGAAACCCAAGGAGTCGGCGGATTGGAATGCGTGCATCGCAACCTCGCACGTGTCCCGCCAAAACAGCGACTCTTTCCGGGCTGCAGGGTTGTGCAGTGTTGTGCCGGCAACGCCGTTCCCGACGGCCTTCCCGACGCCCTTCCCGACGGCCTTCCCGACGCCCTTCCCGACGCCCTTCCCGACGCCCTTCCCGACGGCTTTCCCTACGGCCTTCCCGACGGCTTTCCCTACGGCCTTCCCGACGCCCTTCCCGACGGCCTTCCCGACGGCCTTCCCGACGCCATTCCCGACACGCTTTCCGACGCCCTTCCCGACGCCTTTCCCGACGCCCTTCCCGACGCCATTCCCGACGGCCTTCCCGACGCCATTCCCGACACGCTTCCCGACGCCCTTCCCGACGCCCTTCCCGACGCCTTTTCCCGACGCCATTCCCGACACGCTTCCTTCCCGACGCCCTTCCCGACGCCTTCCGACGCGCGCGTCCCGACGCCACTTCACGCGCCCTTCCCCGCCCTCTCGTCGCCCCCCCGACGCCATTCCGACGCCCTCCCCGACGGCTTACCCGACGCCCTTCCCCACGCCCTTCCCGACGCCCTTCCCGACGGCCTTCCCGACGCCCTTCCCGACTTCCTTCCCGACGCCCTTCCCGACACCCTTCCCGACGCCCTTCCCGACGCCCTTCCCGACGCCTTTCCCGACGCCTTTCCCTACGGCCTTCCCGACGCCCTTCCCGACGGCCTTCCCGACGCCCTTCCCGACGGCTTTCCCCACGCCCTTCCCGACGCCATTCCCGACTCTGTTCCCGACGCCCTTCCCGACGCCCTTCCCGACGCCCTTTCCGACGCCCTTCCCGACGCCCAGTCCGACGCCCAGCCCGACGTATCCTCCGGGTTGGCCAACGCCACATCCGACGTTTCCTGCAGGAACTGGTCTCACGGTTGGCGGAGCTGGCGGTGTGGCTGCCACTGGCGATCCCCACTTGCAAAACGTTCTTGGTCAGCGGTTCGATTTGATGAAGCCGGGCAAGCATGTTCTGATAAACATCCCTCGTGGAAGGCACAATAATGCATTGCTTCGTGTGGAGGCCGATGCGCGCCAGTCGGGTGGACAATGCGCAGACATGTATTTTCAACAGCTGAATATCACTGGGAAGTGGGTGGAGGTGCAAGGGACGGGCGGTCTTCATTTCCAAGCTCAGGGTGTGCACGACGAACAGCCGAAGTGGTTTAAGTTTGGGAAGGTGAATGTAAAAGTTGCTCATGGGCGCACTCAGGATGGGGTCCAGTATTTGAATCTTTACGTCAAGCATCTCGGGCATTCTGGGTTTGCAGTCGGAGGGTTACTAGGACAAGATGACCACACGGAGGCAGCGATGCCTTCGGAGGCATGCGTTCACCACTCTTCCCTGATTCAGATCTCTCACCAGACGGGTCGAAGTGCGTTCGTCTTCTCGGTTGCAGAGGCAAGCTTCAGCTGACGACATTCGACTCAAGCTTCGGCGGCTGCTCCGCAGCGGCCACTGCGTCCGGCAGCTCCGCCGGTGGGGTAGGCCATCCCTACGGGGACTGCGGGGCCCTCTGTCGCACCACTTCTCAGATGAATGCTGGAGTGCGTCTCTTCCTTGCACCTCTCCTGACCATGTTCCGATCGCCTCGGCAGCCGCTCCGCAGCGGCCACTGCGTCCGGCGGCTCCGTCGGTTGGGTAGGCCATCCCTACGGGGACTGCGGGGCCAGTTGTCACACCGGACGCCTGTGCGCAACTTTTGGCCCTTGCGGCAGGACCGCGCAGCGACGGGGGCCCAGCTGTGGCTTCAGTTGCAGTAGCAGGCCTCACGTGAGGGCGCTTGATCACCTTGCTGCTCCGCAGCGGCCACTGCGTCCGGCGGCTCTGTCGGTTGGGTAGGCCATCCCTACGGGGACTGCGGGGTCAGCTGTCGCACCACTCCTGAGATCATCGCAGACCGCAAAAACTGTATCGAAGACGCCTACGGCGAGTCACCGCCGTCCCCTGCCTTTTTGGAAGAGCCTGTGTGTCCGAGAGGTGCGATTAGAGCTTGGGCTAGCTGTCGGAATATGTGTTCCCCGAGATCGTTTGGAAAGCCTTCGGAAAACCCCTGACGAGAATGACCGCAGTGAGGATTTCGATCTGGTCTCACTCACCGCTATCTGGGGGAGCCCTCTTTGGACTTTCTTCGGGGTCGCCTAATACCAGGGACGGTCATATCATTGAGCGTTTTTGTGGAGGCTACAAGCCATACTTTTTTTTTTTGCCTACCTAGGCTCTGCCTAGAAGGGTTCTTACTCTCTTTGCTTAAAGGGGCCGGGCAGTGGAAATCGCCCCGGGCGGTTCCCCCCGCATCCGCCCCGCGGTTCCCCCAGTTACGTCCCCTTAGCTTAGCGTTGCTTATCTCATCTTAGCTTAGCTTATTTCATCTTAGCTCAGCTAAGCTTCATCTTAGCTCAGGTTTATCTTAGCTTAGCTTACCTTCATCTTAGCTTCGCTGAGCTTTAGCATAGCAGAGCACAGCATAGCATAGCATAGCGTAGCATAGCATAGCGCAGCACAGCATATCATAGCATAGCCCAGCATAGCATAGCATAGCATAGCGCGGCATAGCATAGCATATCATAGCTTAGCATAGCACAGCGCAGCATGACATAGCATAGCTTAGCATATCATATAATAGCATAGCATAGCATATCATAGCATAGCGCAGCATAGCATAGCATAGCATAGCATAGCATAGCATATCATAGCATAGCATAGCATAGCATAGCGCAGCATAGCATGGCATAGCATAGCATAGCATAGCATAGCACAGCAACTAATGCTGCTTTCCTAGAGGCTCCAACTTCTAGGTAGGGTCGCACTGGGGTAATTTTGTAGGGCTAGTGATGTTAAAAGGGATGTCGTGTCAGGCTCTTTAGGTGAAAGCATTGTTTGGATCAGCGCTGCTTCATGAGCGCCTCTGTGGTCAGAAGTTTCGACACATGAGTTGGGCGAGCTATCGGACCGGGTGGTATCCGAGCCGCCGTTGAGGTCCGTCCGTGGTGTCCGCCGTTGCTAGGGCGCAGCCAAGACAAATGATTCTCCCCCGCCCGCCCGTCCGTCCGTCCGTCTGGCGGTGGCTCGCGGTGTCCCGCGGTGTCCCGTGGTGCCACGTGGTGTCCTGTGGTGTCCGGTTGAGTGAAATCGATAGTGAAACCCATAATGCGATCGATAGTGAGATCGATAGTGAGGTCGATGCTGAGATCGACGTGGTGCCCCGAGGTGTCCCGTGGTGTCCCCAAAAATGGGATCGATAGTGTGATCGATAGTGATATCAACAGGTGCCCCGTGGTGTCCCGTGGTGTCCCGTGGTTTCCCGTTGAGGGAGATCGATAGTGAGATCGATAGTGAGGTCGATGCTGAGATCGACGTGGTGCCCCGAGGTGTTCCGTGGTGTCCCGTGGTGTCGCCAAAAGTGAATTCGATAGTGAGATTGATGGTGAGATCGACAGGTGTCCCGTGGGGTTCCGTTGAGTGATATCGATAGTGATATCGATAGTGAGGTCGATATTGAGATCGATGTGGTGTCCCGAGGTGTTCCGTGGTGTCCCGTGGTGTCCTATGGTGTCCCGTTGAGTGAGGTCGATAGTGAAATCGATAGTGAGAACGATAGTGAGACCGAGACGTGTCCCGCGGTGTCCCGTGGTGTCCCGTGCTGGCCCGTGGTGTTCCTTGGTGTCCCGTTGAGTGAGATCGATAGTGGGATCGATAATGAGATCGACAAGTGTCCCGTAGTGTCATGTGGTGTCCCGTGGTGTCCCGTGGTGTCCCGTTGAGTGAGATCGATAGTGATATCGATTGAGTCAAGTATTGGTTCCCCCCCTTCCGCCCCCACCCTCCTTCCCGAACGGTGGTCGTATAGGTATTATAGTAGTACCAATCCAACCCGAATCACAATTCTGACCAGGACTGGTGCTGGTCACGGTTCTGGTTTGGTCCGATTGTCATTGCAATCGTTTTAATAATTTTGATGCAGTCTGACCCACAATTGTGACCAGGACTGGTCTTGGTCACGGTTCTGGTTTGGGTCGAGTGGCATCAATAATATAATAATAATATTAGTGCAGACCGAGCCACAATTGTGACCAGGACTGGTCCTGGTCTCGGTTCGGGTTTAGTCACGTTTTTCCGAATCTGTTCGAATAGTGTAACTTACCTGGACCAGGAACCAGATTGGTCACATTCGCAGTTGTGGTCGGTCATCAATCTTTCTCCGACCCAACCCAGACGTACACCACGACCAGTTATAGTCATATTCATAGCTCGACATTCATATCATACTGATCGGGTGAAGCACCATATTGCCTTCACCCAGACCAGTTCTGGTTATAGTCATAGTTCAATCAGGTTATCGTTATTCGAACAATGTCCACCTCAATCAACATCAGAACCACATTCAGGGGGACAACCAATCATGTCGCACGCCTTTTCACCCCTGGCAAGCAGGGGTCGGCGGATCCAGTTGCGCTGCCGGGCGATTCCGTCACCGCGCTCGGGCGGGCGGGGGTGGCGCCGTGGGGTGGGGTATGGGGGAAGATGGTCGAAGGACCGAGCTTGTATTTGGGACCAGTTTGTTTCTGGAAGGCAAGCGACGCAGATGTTTGGCCACGCAAATGCATACATGTTGGGCTCGATGCGTGGGGGGCTCCCAATTATATATCCAATGGCCTTCCCGCATCCATTCTGGCTCAAGACTGTTCGGTTCCAGCTGGGCCTTCGCAGTTTGAAGCATACCCGCGCGCTCCTCGTGCATCCTACACCTTGTGATCGGTTCACCTGTCCCGCAGATGGCCCGTTTCTTACTGATGATTGCCAGCTTTGTTGGGGCACGCGGGGCCGCTGGCCTGGGTGCGGTCCCCGCCGATTCCAGCATGATACAGCTTGCGGCAGCGATGAACGGGAGCAACGCCTCGCAGCTGACAGGATGGGGAATTCGACGGGATCCGTGGGGGCGATCCCCTACGCCTAATCCGACCGCCGCTCAGGACTCTTGCAGCGCAGCCATAGATCTGTCCACAGTGTCCAGCCCTTACGTTGGTACGACAGTGACAGGCATGAACACGCATGCCACATCGTGTGGTGGCAATGGGAATGAACAGATCTTCTACATCGATGTTCCATCCGGCTCCACATTGAAAATCGGCATGTTCAGCAACACTTACGACAGCCGCCATGAGACACGTTGGGGTGGTGCATGCCCAGGTGCCAACCTTGTGATGTGCACGGACGATCCCGATACCATGCGGCACGTTTGGAATAACAACCAAGGAACAGTGCAGCGAGCATACTTCATCATCGATGCATATGGGAGCGGCGCTGGAAGCTTCACGTTGGTCTGGAGCATCGATTCCGCTGAGGACTCTTGCAGCGCAGCCATAGATCTGTCCACAGTGTCCAGCCCTTACGTTGGTACGACAGTGACAGGCATGAACACGCATGCCACATCGTGTGGTGGCAATGGGAATGAACAGATCTTCTACATCGATGTTCCATCCGGCTTCACATTGACAATCGGCATGTCCAGCAACGCTTACGACAGTCGCCATGAGACACGTTGGGGTGGTGCATGCCCAGGTGCCAACCTTGTGATGTGCACGGACGATCCTGATACCATGCAGCACGTTTGGAATAACAACCAAGGAGCAGTGCAGCGAGCATACTTCATCATCGATGCATATTGGAGCGGCGCTGGAAGCTTCACGTTGGTCTGGAGCATCGATTCCGCTGGCTTGACGACAACATGCGCTACTCTGGAACAGTACAACAGCTGCGGCACTACAGAAATCGCTCGAACCACGTTCACCGACACGACTGCATGTGAAGAGTTCTGCGGATCCCAAGGTGCGAGTTGTTGTGAGCGGCAGTATGATTCTTGGGCTTACGCCGCAGGGGCTCCTTGGTGCCCTTTTGGGCGCTGCACGGGGGCCCAGGGGGGGCCTCTCGGAGCTTCTTGGGGGCCGTCTGTGGGGCTGTGTGGGGGGGCCCTTTCTGATTGTTTCGGGGCCTTCTGGGAAGCCTCTTGGGCCGTCTGGGGAGATTTCGGGAGCTTCCTGGTCCGTTGTGAAGCGTCGGGAAACCGAAAAGGCGAGAACGCTGAACTCTTTCAAAAACGGATTGAAAATCAATGACTGTTGCGTCGTGGGGCCCTGTCGGGAGGGCTTTTGGAGGTTTCTGGGGGCGTTTGGGGGGCGTCTTGGGCCGTCTGGAGGCTACTTGGCCGTCCTAGAGGAGCGTTTGGCGTTTGGGGGCCCTCTTGGACTGTTTTGGGGGCCTCTTGGGGCCGCCTGGGCTCGTTGTGGGGGCCTCTGTCCTCCCATGATGCGTTGGGGCCGGGCCCGTGGGATCCGGGCGGACCCCCCTCCCTCCAAATCGAACAGACCAGGGTATGGGGGGCGGGGTCGGGGGAGTGGTAAGCATCTCACACGCTGAGGGTAGTCCAAGGGGTCGGGGGGGTTGTGCCGCCACGCTCACATTCCAGTGTCTTCTTGTGAGAGGGATGGTGGGCCTGCACACACGGTGTAATCTGATGCCCCCTGCCGTCGTGTGACAGACCAATGCACAGCGAGGGCGGGAATCCCAAATATGATCCAGGTCATGTCGCAAAATGCATTTTGTCTTGATCGTATCGTGATGACGGGGATCTTTGACTCGGGTCGGCCGTCGGTCGAGTGGGTGGGTGGGTGTGTCTATGAATACGCTGCGGGGGTAAATCGCTTCCGAAGGGCAGAAGGGGTTTTGAAGACAGGCTCCCCTAAGCCACCGACGCAGATGTCTGGTGTGAGGTTCTTTGCGGGTGTAGTTTTTGGTTTCGTGCAGGCCGCGAGAGGGCCTTCGTCACAGGAGCCAGGCTCGTTTTGAAAGCTTGGTCGGGATGGTGCCCAGGAGAAATTTGTCGGGGCGGTGGTTGAAGGGGACGCGAGGTGGGGCGGATCTGATGGGACGAGAGTGGAGTAGCCCGTGGACTAGCCTTCAGGCGATGTCGATTAGATCGGGAACGGAACCTCTCTTTGAAGTGCGTGTAGGAAGGCAAGAACTCATGCCTCCGACGCACCACTGGTTGATTCTTGAGCCGTCTTGGGCGGGTCGAATGGCCTTCGGCACATCCCGCCACCGTGCCTGGGCTGCGGGGCCGAGGCCGCGCGGATGGCAGACTGGGTCTCGTGGGAGGCGTGCTGGGGGCGTTTTGGAAGCAGCTCTGAGCCGCTAATGGGGCCCTCCCGAAGGCCCGATCGAATCTTTCTCGGGCCACTCGGAGGCGCCCTGGGAGCGTACTGGGGGGCTTCCCGGGGCATCGTGTCCAGTGGCGCAGTCCGCCCGCGCAGTGCGCAGTGCGCAGGCGCAGTCCCCCTTGGAGGGTCCCGGTGGCGCAGCCAGCAGCAGGCGGCCTACCCACCCAGGGCAGCGCTTCGTGGCCCCAGAAGGAGCTCCACCGAAGGTTCAGTGGCGCAGCCCGCAGGCGGATCCCACGCCCAGTGCATCGTTTCGCATCGTTTCGTGGCCCCGTAGGGCGGTCCACCGAAGGTCGAGCCGAGGAAAAGGGCAAGAACGTCACCTCTGGCAGCCCTTCGGCACGATTTCGCAGCCCGCCCAGGCAGACTGCCCGGGGGGAGGGGGCTGCGAGGGCCCGCGCCCATCGGCAAAACAATGGAGAGGAAACCGATCACAAAGATCTGTTCCCAAACATGCGACGTCCAGATTTTTTCAGGACGGCGTCCCCGGAAGCCCCGACTCTTTCCCCTGGGGCCGGCTCGCCATCCCGAGTCGTTTTCTGACGCTCCCGAGGCCCGGCGAGGGCCCCCAGGGGCCGAAAATGGCCAAAAACCTGGCGGCCGGCGTCTGAGACGGTTGCCCCGTGGCGTCGCCTGGCTGGCGGGTGGCGGGAGGCGATGCTGTCCGCCGCAGCCGGCATGGGCGGCGGAGGCGTGCCGGCCGCGCGCCCGCAGTCCGCCCGCGGAGGAGGAGGAGGAGGAGGAGGAGGAGAATGATGATGATCATGATGATGATGATGATGAGTTTGATGTTGCTGCTGCTGATGCTGCTGCTGATGATGAATATGAGGCGGAGGAGGAGGTGGAGGCAGAGGCGGAAGCGGAGGCGGATGGGAAGGAGGTGGATGATGATGATCATGATGATGATGCTGATGCTGATGATGATGATGATGATGATGATGCTGATGCTGATGCTGATGCTGATGCTGATCATGATGATGCTGATGAGGATGATGCTGATGCTGATGATGATGGTGATGGTGATGATGATGATGATGCTGATGATGGTGATGATGACGATGCTGATGCTAATGCTGATTATGTTGAACAGGATGATGTTGATGACGATGATGATGATGATGATGATGATGATGATGATGATGATGATGATGATGATGATGATCCAGAATGTGCTGCTACTGCAGGATGATGGTGTTGGTGATGATGATGCTGATGATGATGATGATGCTGATGTTGATGATGACGATGCTGATGCTAAGCTGATGAGCACGATGCTGATGACGATGATGCAGAACATGCTGCTGTTGCAGGATGATGCTGCTGCTGATGATGCTGATGATGATGAGGACGATTATGATGACAATGCGGATGATGATGATGATGATGATGATGATGATGATGATGATGATGATGATGATGATGATGGTGATGACGATAATGATGATGACGATGACCATGATCATGATGGTGATGGTAATAGTGATGGTGATGATTATGCTGATTATTATGAAGTTCTTCTGCTGATGATGATAGTGCTGCTGCTGATGATGATGATGAGGACGATTATGATGACGATGCTGATGATGATGATCATGATGATGACGATGACCATGATGATGATGATGATGATGATGATGATGATGATGATGATGATGATGATGGTGGTGATGGTAATGGTGATGGTGATGATGCTGCTGATTATTCTGATGGTTCTTCTGCTGCTGGCGATGATGCTGCTGCTGAAGATGATGCTGATTTGCTGATGATGGTGATACTGATGATGATTCAAATGCTGATGGTGATGAACATGCTGATGATTGTGATACTGATGCTGATGCTGCTGCTAATGATGTCGATGATGATGATGCTGATGATGATGATGCTGATGATGATGCTGCTGATGGTGATGCTGCTGCTGGTGAAGATGATGGTAATGCTGCTGCTGCTGCTGATGATGATGATGATGCTGGTGCTGCTGGTCATGATGATGATCCTGATGCTGATGACGATGCTGCTGATGATGATTAAGATGAGGAGGATGCGGAGGAGGATGAGGAGGAAAAGGAGGAGAAGGAGGCGGAGAAGGAGGAGGAGGAGGTGGATGAGGAGGAGGAAGAGGAAACGGATGATGATGATGATGATGATGATGATGATGATGATGATGATGATGATGATGATGATGATGAGGATGATGGTGCTGATGCTGATGCTGATGCTGATGCTGATGCTGATGCTGCTGCTGATGATGATGATGATGATGATGATGAGGAGGAGGAGGAGGAGGAGGACCAGTGTAACCCCAAGAGTCATCAACGATGTTTGAGTAAACCCTCCCTCCAAGATTCATTTTCGTAGGCCCCTACAGCGGTTCATTTCCACTGAGGGAACTGCCTCGTTGGAAGGCAATCGTTTGAAGACCCTGAAGCATGCCAAAACATAGTTCTCGGGATTCCAACGCCACGGATCAACATGACTGCTGCATCTTGATAAACCTGAATCGTGCCAGATCGCAAGTCCTGGGACTTCACCACCGCAAATCAACGTAACCGTTGCACCCGCATAATCCTGAACCCTCCCAACACATCCTTTCCGGTACGTTGATCATAGGAATCCGTAAAACTCCTGCACAGTTTATAAACGAATGTGTGCGGCGCTAAGGCGAGAACCACATCCTGAAAAGGAACCGTCCTCAATCCGTGAAACTCTTCGCATTTTTGAAAACCAAATGTGCGCGGCGCTAAGGCGAGAGCCACATTTTGAAAACGACTCGCTCTCATTTCGTGAAGCTCTTGCAACTGTTCAAAACGAATGTGCGCGGCGCTGAGGCGAGAGCCGCATGTTGTAAACGACCCGCCCTCCATCTGTGAAACTGTTGCCAATGTCTAAGCTTCAGAACCACAAGTGGTGAGGAAGTCTCAGACGAAACGCCCGGCCCGCACCAAAAACCGGCCCCTGGGTGCGACAGGGAGAAGTTATTCACAATGAATGGAATGGAGGAGGAGGAGGAACAGGAGGAGGAGGAGGAGGAGCAGGATGAGGAGGATGAGGAGGAGGAGGAGGAGGACAGGAAGGAGGAGGAGGAGGAGGAAGAGGCGGAGGAGGAGGAAGAGGCGGAGGAGAAGGAGGCGAAGTGTAGGTCGCGCTCGCGGTCTTGCGAATTCTTAAGACAACCGTAGGTCTCTCAGTATTTCCATGGAATTCTGCCAAGCGGGCCTCTGGTGCCGCGTGCCGACATCATTCGCACGTCTTTGCGCGCATGCTGGGGGGGGGGCACGACCCGTGTCAAAGAATTCCATGCGGGCCACTGTCACGCGTCGGCCGCGCGCGCATGTCGAACTCTTTCCAAAACCTTCATAACCGACGCGAGGACGCCGTTGGCCGTGCCGTCGTCGTTGCCAACATCGTCACTAGCATCGCTACCATCATCGTCGTGTCTACCGTTGTCGACGTTGCCATGATTCTGCGCCCGCCGAAGACACCGATTCGCACTGAAGTGCTCGCTGGGATGTGCCCAGCGGTCAGCGCCACCGCGGCCGCGTCGGTCGCGCCAAACTAGCTGGCCGCTGCGCGCGCGTGCTTGGGTTGGCGCGGCCACAGAGATGGACCAGCTAACGCCAAGCATGTGTCGCAATCGCCACCGCATAGGTTTTGCACACCAAGCTGCGGGTGGGTGGGTGGGATGATTGTGCGGCAAGTGGAGGTGGTCAAGCGCGGCGCAGGGTAGCCAATATCAACACATGATGGCACCACGTAGCTCACACCACAGGTCACACCACTCCTTTCCGCCACATCGATTGCACCACATGATATGTTAATCCACGCTGTCTTGGACTCGTGCTGAGAATGCGCGTAACGAATGTTTTCCAGGAGCAAATTGGATCAAGTAGATTGGCGAGGGCAGGATCTCTAGATCATTTGCAAACGGGGTCCGAGGCGGATGGGTCACGCGTTAGTAATTATTGAGGCTATCTTCAGCGAGGGGACAACTTAGGAGGGTGAGGAGGAGAACCGAAGGGACGAAAAGGGGCGAGGAGAACCAGGAGGAAACACAGTATCAAGATGATGATGAAGATGATGGGAATGAGGATCAGGTGGACTCAGAACTGGTAGACTAGAGGGACGAGGAACTTGTGGAGAGGAGAAGGGGTGCGCAGGAAAAGGTGGAGTGGGAGGGGGAAGTGCGAGAAAGAGGATGACGTGGAGGATGAGGGTGACAGCAAAGACGACGAATGCGACGACGATGACGGCGACAATGATGACGACGAGACCGTACACCGATTAGAAACAGGAGCAAACGCTTTTGGGTATTACTTGGCCCTACCCCAGGACAACATGTGCGGTTTCCGATTTCGTCCTTGTCGTTTGCGACTTCCGTTCTTGCGGCCTGCGTGTAGTTGTTGCGAATTCGTTCTCTTCTCCCTCCGTGCCTATTGCGTTTTTTTTGTCGGGGGGTAACTCCTGTAGTCCTAGGGGGAGGCCCTTTGGCGCTCTCTCACGGCTCCTCGGGGCTTTTTGTTGCCCTCGGGGGGCCTCTCTGGTGCCTCTTGTTCATGTTGGGGGTCTTCTGTGGGGCCATCATGTGGGGCCATCGTGTGGGGGAGGGCTCCCAGGGCCCCTGCGGGTTCCCCATCTCGTGTGCCTCTCTCGGTCAGAGGCCAGCAACATATGTACATGTACGCGGTTAGCTTCCCCTGGAGTGCGTGTCAACGCGGACGTTCGTGCAGGCAAGACCGCGGAGGGCGTACATGTACATATGTCGTTGCTCGCCCACTCGGGCCCCTGCAGAGGCCTCTTGAGGGTTTTGTTTGTCCCGTCCTGGGTGCCTCTTGGGCCGTCTCCGGGCCTTCTTGGAGGCCTCTTGGGCCGTCTTGGGCCGTCTTGGGCTTGCACGCGACCGAAAAGGCGAGAACGCAAATATCATGCAAAGATCCTAGGACCATCATTTTATTTTTGTCTCTGGAGGTCCTCTTGGAGGGCTTCCTTGGCAGCCTTCAGGCCACTTAGGGTGTTTTTAATGGCTCCTCGGCGTTTTGGAGCTCAGCTTGAGCCAACTTAGATGCTATCTTGGACATCTTTTGGAGACCACGGAATCTAGATTTGGAGGCTCCGAAGGGCCTGGAGGTGCGTTGGCGATCCCCCTCTAACTGGATTTTAGATCCCATGGGGAGGGGGAAAGGGAATGGAAACGGCCAATCATCTCACGCGCCTTTTCACCCCTTGCAAGCGGGGGTCGGCGGACTTATGCGAGCAAGTGTCAATGCTTCTGCTTCTGCGTCCACTGAATGCGTGTGGAACCGCCACCGTGCCAGCCCAGCATTCTGGGTAGCGACTGATCGAGTGGGCACGGGAACCCGTCATGTGTGACAGCTCGGGCCTCTTGAAGGCATTGGGGGCCTGTTGGTGTTGGGTGTCTCTCGGGGGCCTGCTGTGTGCCTCTTGTGGGTCTCTTGGGGCTTCTCGTCAGCGTCCTGGAGGGCGCCTCGGAGGCTCCTGGGGGTTCCTTGGGCTGTCTGAGTGCGCTCTCTTGCTGTCTGGGCGCTTCCAGAGTCCGTCTCGTAGGGCCCTCTGGGTCGTCTTGGGGCTCGCTTGGGGACCTCGAGGGCCGTCTGATGCCCCCCCTTGGGCCGACTTGAGGTCCTCTTGGACTGCTCTTGAGCCATCTTGGAACCCTCTTGGGTCGTCTTGGGGACA